CTGTCCCTCCTCTGGACATGTCCAAACCACTGTCTCTCCTCTGGACATGTCCAAACCACTGTCCCTCCTCTGGACATGTCCAAACCACTGTCTCTCCTCTGGACATGTCCAAATCACTGTCCCTCCTCTGGACATGTCCAAACCGCTGTCCCTCCTCTGGACATGTCCAAACCACTGTCCCTCCTCTGGACATGTCCAAGCCATCTCAGTGTGTCCTCTCTAACTTCATCTCCCAGTTGTTCAACCTGTGCTGTACCTCTGATGATCTCATTCCTGATCTTCTCCATCCTTGTCTCTCCTAAGGAGAACCTCAACATCTTCATTTCTGACACTTCCAGTTCTGTCTCCTGTCTTTTTGTCCATGTCTCTGTCTCCAGACCATGCAACATAGCTGGTCTCACCACTGTCTTGTAAACTTTTCCTTTGACTTTTGCTGACACCCTTTTGTCACAAATCACTCCAGAAACTTTTTTCCATCGCTCCATCTTGCCTGGACTCTCTTCTTCACCTCTTCACCACACTCCCCATGTTCCTGGACAGTGGACCCCAAGTCCTTGAAGTCCTGCACCTTTGTGACCTCTGCTCCTTGTAGCCTCACTGTTCCACCTCCTCCCTTTCATTCACACACATGGACTCCGTGGACTCTGTCTTACTACGGCTGACTTTCATTCCTCTTCTTCCAAGTGCATACCTCCACCTCTCCAAGTTCTCTTCCACCTGTTCTCTGTTCTCACCACAGATCACAAGGTCATCTGCAAACATAGTCCACGGTGCACCTGGTGTGTGATGTTGTTTAAATGCTAACATTAAATTCCACACGAACTGACTCTAGTTACTCAGAAGACAATTGGCTGCTCGTTAGTTTGGAGTATCAGAGTACAAATGTGCATTGCATACTTCAGATTTATTAAAAATATTTTAAAGCATTTATCTGTTTTCCTTTCATTTTACAAATATGCGGTTCTTTATGTTGATCTAAGAAATCCCAGAAAAATTGAAGTTTGTGGTTGTAACGTGACAAAATGTGGAAAAGTTCAAGAGTATGAACATACAGTATATATACGATGTATTGTCCTGAAGATGCTTTTTTAAATATTTTTCCCTCTTGCAACAATCACTGCACTTCACTTTTATCTTTAGAACTGAATCTTCTTCTCCGTGCCCAGAGTGCAATTTAATCAAATATAATAAAAGTTGTCTGAAGTCGAGCACTGAACAAGCCTGTGGTCATTATTTACTGTAAATCCCTCAGTTTCCAGATGAACCCCGTGTTTCTGCAGGCTGTCGTTGAAGCAAACAGCTCATGAATCTGAACGATGACCTTTTGATTGACGTGCCCTCTGATGGTTTTTGTTCTGCCTCACTTCCTCCTCTTCCTCTCTCAGTGCTGGGTGTCGTTCCTGAGCTCTGCCAGTGCCGAGACCTGGAGCTGGACTGCGATGACGCTCAGCTTGGAGTGATCCCTGTAGTGGCGATAAATGTCACCATGATGTGAGTAGAAAATAACTCCTTATAGTTTTTTTTTTCTTTCTGACTCATAAAGCTCAGGCAATTCTCTTGGAGTCAGTCATCAAAAGCTTTGACTGTCACGTCTTATTGGAAGTGTTTCAGCCCTCCAAGACCCCGTGTGTGGAAAAAAACTGACAGGACCTGCCAAGAAAACTTATTCAGAGGCAAAAATTGAACACTTTACCTTGACAAGTGCATTCCCTGTGTTTTTAACAATAAAACAGAGAAGCCGCTCCATTACTTTGTCTTCCATGTGGAGTTATTTTCTCAGATGTAATTCTAAATAAATGTCACGGTGAAGGTATGAGGGTGGGTTTTTGTGAGGTTTAACATTCGGTGAAGAAAAAAAACTTGAATAACAAACAGAACACTCAACGAAAGGTGTTATTTTTATTTTTAAAACGCATAAAAGAATATTGTAGCATCCTGCTCTAGGCCTTGTTCACAATGTTAAAGAAGACGGATTCTGTTTCAGCCAAAAACGTTCCATACTTCCAGTCTGAAAGTTGCAAAGAAAGTAAAGACAGCAGTCTAAAATTATTTATGTTTTTCCTTTACCTGTATGAAAAGTCTCATTGAGTCACGAGAACTCATTTTCAAGAGAGACCTGTTTTTTTAGGGAGCAGATGGAGGTTAAGGGCCTTGCTCATGGGCCCATAGTGGGGCGATGAGGGTAGGGGCAAATGTGGTTGCTTCACCTACCCCACCCACATTTTTTTGATGTTGTCGGTACCGGGGCGTGAACTAGCGATCTTCCGATCACAGGCCCACCTCTCTAACCTCTGCGCCACCACTCCCCAATATAATATAAAATATATCATTGCACCGATGTGGCTCAATATTCCTAATGTCTTTTTGTTTTTCTCCATCACTTCTTCTTTAAACTGTTCCCTCTTCAGGGGTCTCCACAGCCAGTCCTCCATCTCTGTCCTCTGTCCTCAGTCCAACTCCCTCCATGTCCTCTCTAACTGCATCCATCCTCTTTACTTGTGGTTTTAGACTAAGTAGCATAATTTCTGCCGGCGCTCTGTTTGTTAGCGGCACCGGAGGCGCTCGTTGTTATCCCAGGCCTCTGTCGAGCCAATATGGTGTCGTTTAGATGAACTCACATGTTGGTTTTAAAAGTGTTTTTACGAGGGACGCCCTTCCTGACACAACACTCGCCGTTTCATTTCATCACAACAGATACACCGGCTTGTTCTCCCCAGTAGTGTGTGTGTTGTTTTCTCATCACCATTTCCACATTTTATCTCCAACAGGTTTTGAATAGTTCTTCTTCCAGGCATTTGTTAAAATTAAAAATAATAAAAATAAAACTGCAACATGTACATGAGTCTCCTGTTAGCATCATTACAATTTGTAAATGTTAAAAAAAGTCTAAAAATAACAGAACTTTTATTTAGTTAATGCACCAACAATGTGGACTAAATCAGGTGGCGCAGATGGTAGAGCTGTCACCTTTCAGTGAAAAAGTTGCTAGATCAAATCCCGGGTGGGATCTTTCTGGGTGGAGTTTACATGTTCTCTCCGTGCTGCATGGGTTTCTTCCCACAGACCAAAAACATGCATGTTAGACTGATTGGTAACTCTAAATTGTCCCTAGGTGTGAGTGAGAGAGTGAATGGTTGTTTGTCTCGTTTGTCTCCGTTTCCCTGTGGTGGACTGGAGACCTGTCCAGGGTGTCCCTTGCCTCTCACAAAGTGATAGCTGGACAGCAACCCAAAAGGAAGAATCGGGTAAAGTGGATGGATGGATGGAAATATTAATTATGCATGTATTATTATCTTAAGGCCAAAAACCTGCAGCTTATTAATCCAACATTTATTCTGAGCTGAACAAAGTGAGTCCCAGACCTGTTCAGCTGTCTTGCATGTCTTATATTTTTGCAGTGTGTAATTTTTTTATTTAACTCTATAATGATTTTATTTCTCCACGCCTCACAGGTCTCTACAAAGAAACCAACTTCAGCGACTAAAACCAAAAGTCTTCTTTATCTACCAAAGTCTACAGAAACTGTGAGTTTTCCACTCTTTTTTATCCGTTTGCCTTTTTCTGCTCGAGCCCAGAGTCGCTCAGCATTTCAGCAGCAAGTAAAACAGAAGTGTTTGGGCCCCTCAGAGGATTGCTGGGGTGTTAACGGAGGAGATTGTTCTGCTCAGCATATGGCTCCATTCATGTAGTTTATCAGCTTCACACCGTGTCCCTGACAGTGGCCCCGCCACGGCCGGACTCATCCTCTGCCAGGAGCCGTTTGGCAGCATGAGACGGTCGGCCTTCTGTCCGTTTGATCAGACTGAGAACTTCTTTTAGATGCAGTAGACATGAACCAACCTCACAGCCTTCAGACAAGTCTTGAGCGGCCGTTTAACCTGAAAATGATTCCAGACTCTGAATCGTTTCATAGCAGCTAATTGATTTCGGTCATGTTTCTAAGCTTCCTTCGTAAAGACAAATCTCTTTTACCATTTTACCTCCTTGTGCTTGTTTTTGTTTGCTCATTATTTCATCAGCCTCAAGATGTTTTTCTGTGTGTGTGTTTTCTTTGCAGATATCTACAGCACAACAAAATTCAAGACGTGAGCCCCGATGCGTTCAGGGGCCTTTATAACCTCACAAGACTGTGAGTAAAGTGATTTTTAAGGTAGTAAAGATTCATTTAATTTAGCTGATTATGACTAATAAACACAACTCAGGGACTCATCTGATTATATTTTATATATTGGGCGGCTGTGGCTGAGTGGATAGAGCAGTTGTCCTCCAATGGGAGAGTTGGGGGTTTGATTCCACCAGCAGTCAAATGCTGAAGCGTCTCTGGGCAAGACACTGAACCCCTCATTGCCTCCAATGTGTGTCCATCAGTGTATGAATGTGATAAATCTCTGATTAGTCTTTGTGTAGATCTAGTAGAGTGCTGTATGAATGGGTAAATTAATTCAACCTTTATTTTTACAGGTAAATCCCATTGAGCCTCGGGGACTCATTTATAAGAGATGCCTGATTTGAATGAAGGCACGGATTGAGTTGTAAAGAGCTTGACCAGATATAAAGACGCTAACTAAACACAGTCCATTTACCATTTTACATTTCAGTGGGATCATAACTTTCATCTGTTTCTAATTATTTCATGCAGCAGAGCAATGAGGCAGATTTTAGGCACCAATAAATATAAAATTTAAATGTATCTTAATGTAATATATTCAGGATTCAAAACAAACTGAAGAAAACTTGCTGCGTCTGTCACACATTAAATAATACAATAAAATAAAGTGCTATGTCTTGTCATCGTTGCGTATTTATGAATTTAGTTCTCTGCATTTAACCCATCACACCTGAGATCTACCCAGGTGAAGCAGTGGGCAGCTGTTGAGCGCTCGGGGAGCAGTTAGGGATTGGGTGTCTTGCTCAAGAACACCACAACATTTAGGCATAGTGGGGAGTTGAACCGGCGACTTTCTGGTCCCAAGTTGGCCGCTCTATCTCTACATGATGTCGGCCCCCAAAGTTTCAGTGGAGGATGCGAGCAGCATTAAATGTTCGTTGTCGTTAACTTTTGAGACTGAGGACTTAAAGAGTTGCACGTGCAGCTTAGTGCTGATGCAGGTTGGATGTAACCAAGTAAACCTGAACCTGAGCTGCTGGTTGGATTTAATAGTGTGCAGATGAACGAGCTGAAGTGGCAGGCAGGGACAGGACAGGGAGCAAAGCTGACTGCTGATCAAACGCTGAGCACGTCGAGGCTGCAGACCTGAAACTGATACGTTACTGAAAACTTTCCTCCACAACAAGAAGCCATCAGCTGTAGGAAAACCACAACACAAAAAAGATTGTACTTTACTGAGTGTTTACTCTGAAGAGGCCGATTGGTGATTTGAGTGGAGAAGAAAAGCACGAGGTCACGTCCAAATGATACACGAGAACAAAGAGAAACTAAAAATAACCACAGCATGAAAGGAAGGAGACGATGGGCATACAGTAGCTTTTTATTTATTTTTATCTTTTGTGTGAAACGTTCAAACCAAATGTTCTGTCCTGCTTTTGATTTTTGGTATAAATGAAAATCTTAAGGTTGCACAGCAGACAAATGTTTTAAACGTGACTGGTCCGTCAGTTGAACAGTTTAGGAGAACAGCTGTTAATGTGCTATAAGCTCAATCTGCTCCACGGTGAAACTACTGTTGTAATTTGACCCGCTCGCAGAAAAACTGCCTTAGATCTTGTAAGTGAGGTCAGTTAGACCCTCTGTTCCCACAACTTTTCCACTTTTTGTGTTCATTTGCCGTCGCCAGCTGTTCTTACAGGCTCCTCCACTGGTTACGATGTAATTTGATTAAATTGGCATTCTTCGTATTTGAACTTTGCCCTCTTTCCATTCCTTATTCAGAGATTGGAATTATTGTTATTATAAATCATTCAGGACCTTTGAAATAACTTTTAATGTTAAAAGTGAGCAAAACCTAAAAGAGTCTGTGATCATGAATCCCAGCAGGGAAATCTTATAATCTGTGTCACGTCTCTCCACATCGTTAGAGGAATGATAACGAGTTAAAATGTTTTATTATTTAAACCAGTTTTCACACAAGCTCTGATCTTTTCTAGACATGTTTGAACAAGTCTGCACGTTGGACCAGTTCGCATCCGACGCACCAGATTTGATCAGACCTCACTTATCCAAACTAAGTGACTTCGTCTTGGTGTGTGGCAACATCTCGATATAAGAAAGTTTCCTTTCAAAAACTGAGTTACCTTGTCAACATCCAAGATGGCTGCCACCATATATGTATATTTATAAAACTTGTGAGCTGGATCATTTGAAAAATAAGTAACGTGCCGGTTTTTCTTTTAGTGAGTGGCTGCATCTAAGTGTACAAAATGTCACTATAAGAAACTGGGTTGCCACATCAAAATCCAAGATGGCCACCGTCATATATGTGTGTAACCCGGTCACCCCAATCACTTGAGGAAACTATGCCTTCTGTTCATTTTTAAGTGCTTAAAAGTCTAATTTCCTCAAATGATTGTGAGGATGAGTTTCCTAGTGTGTGTCTCCCTCTTGTGGTCTGTCCTGTCCTCCTCAGTGTTTCTCCTTGTAATCAGCTCCTGCCTCCGCCACCTGTTCTCCTTTCCCAGGTGTTTGTCATTGTCTGTCGTTAGCGTGTGTATAAAAGTCTGCGTGTTTGTGTCCCTCGTTGTCTGGGCATTATGCCTCATGTTCCGTCCTCCCGCCGTGTCACAGCCTTCATGTGTTTGTTGCCCCGACAGCTTTTGTTAATAAATTAATTAATATTTCATTCTCAGGGTCTCTATGATCTGTCTGCATGTTGGGATCAACACTAATCATCATATCACGACAGATTGTGCAGGACAAAGAATAATAAATCAATGGGGGCTAAGGCCACCACTGGCCACCCCCTGGCTCCACCAATATACCTGGTTGTGGATAAAATTCCCTCCACTCGTGAGGATCTGTCACTCTGCGCCTCTTCGGACAAGAACAACAAACAAAGTACCATAATTCTGTTCTTCTCCACTGTAACTCACACTCCCTTGAATATCTTGTTCTAAATAATTTAAGGTTTACTTACATTCCCTTTCACTTCCAGTCTAGAAAAAGACTCTTCTCCAAAACTACAAACATTCACCGTTCAAGTCTGTCAGGACGGGGACGTCGGCGTGCCGCTTGTTTTCACATCGTCTTCCATATGCAAACAACAGACTTCTCTTTCTCAGCGTGCTCGTGGTTTTCTACCTGATCTTCATAACTGAGGGTGCATGTTCATGGCGTGTACATCTGATCACAGAAATATCCTCAACTGTGACAGTTGGATAATTTAATAAAAATATATGAAGTTTTCATTGCTGTCTCATTGAATCCAGTGTTTGCAACAAGAGTGCGGCAGCATGGCTGCGTTTGGAAGGTTCTGAAAGTCCCAGCCTTGTTTCTGATACTTCATGATGTCATGCAGGACTTTGTTGCCCATCTCAGAATACTTTGAACCCACTTCAGAAGGTATCATTTGATCTGGTGCAGTGTACTTATGAAATTAAAATGTGCAGATTTAGACCAATTGTTCTACTACTTATTATAATAGAACAGGATGATATTGATTTATTGATCTGCTTAGGGAAATTAATTAATCACAGTAGCAGACAAGTTCAAAAGTAAGAACATTACGACAAAATTAGTAATAAAAATAATATAATCTCAAACAGTAACTGTGTGTTGTAAACTGAGACTCAGGAAGTGCAATAATTGTAATTTTTACAGTAGCTGGAGGCAGATATTAATGTAGTGGTATTACTCTGTTAGAGGTCAAATGTTAAAAAGTGACATTGAACATGGTAGAAATGACGCTCAGGAAATTATATCATTAATCATTGTGTGATTTGTAGACCTGTGTTTGTTTTCTGGTGGATCAAGGTCCTGTCCAGGTGTCAGAATGCAGATCTAGTTGTCTTGAGACGGGTTGGAGACACCCAAGACCAAATTCAGACAGGTCTGAGACACTTGCAACAAATCTGACTCGTTACAGAGAAACTCTGTTGCACAAATATCCTGATGTTGCTCAATAATCCATGTCGAAAAATAAAAAAAAATTAAGTCGGGTCCTCAGGACGGGTTCAAAAAACAAACAAACAAAAAAATTGTAGAAACGTTGTGTCTTTCATCTGAAAGACGAAGACGTTTTTGACTGAAGAAGTCCTTTGGATGAAAGACTAAACTTTTCTACTTTTTTTTTTTAACCCGTCCAGAGGACCTGACAATTTTTTAGATTTGTTGCACAAAGTTTTTGATTATGTTCAAAATGAAACTCTGAAATGTCTTTAAGACATGCTTGTAGTAACTGATTGGATTCATTGGGTTTCATGGACAAATATAACTGTGTATCATCAGCATAACAATGAAAATGTAATAGCTTTACCTAATGGAGGCATATATAAGGTAAAGAGTATTGGTCCAAGCATAGAACCTTGAGGAACTTCAAGACTAACTTTGGTGTATGATGAAGATTCATTATTTACATTAACAAATTGGAATCTATCAGATAAATATGATTTAAACCAGTTTAGAGCCGTTCCTGTAATCCCAATATCATATTGAAGTCTCTGTAGTGAAATATTATGATCAACTGTATCAACTGCAGCACTGAGGTCTAACAGGACCAGTGGAGACACATGTCCATTGTCAGAGGCCATGAGAATATCTTTAGTAACTTTTTCACCAGAGCAGATTCAGTGCTGTTTGTGCTACGATGAGCTCTAAACCCAGATTCTGGAGACCGGTTCTGGAGTCCGGCCTTTCACCAGCTTGTCGCAGACCAGTGAGAAACTACTTTTAGTCAACGGTTGTTAAAAATGACCAGGGGCGCAAATCAGTTTACAAAAACTTTAAAGCTTATTCAGCATTTCTTTATCTAGTTACTCCTCGTGCACTCAGAGAAAACTCCTAAGGCGACCTCTTTAAACTTTTTTTTAAATTAGATATCTGAGCCACAACGAGATAACGGTCCTGATGCCAGGAGTGTTCGAGGACCTGCACAAGCTGGAGTGGCTGTGAGTCCACAACATTCATGCTCTTGTTTTTGTCTTCTGTCCTTTTCAGTAAGATGTGCATCAAACTCACATCTGTTGATGGTTTTTCTGATTCAATGCTCAGAAACCGAGGCTGAAATAATGTTTGTCTTGTTGTTGCAGGATTCTAGAAAACAACAACATCCATCAGATTTCAGCCAAGACGTTTTCAGGACTGAACTCCCTGGTTTTACTGTAAGTTTCTGCTTTCTTCTTTATGTTTTTACTGTTTTATAATCTGCTCAATTTATATAAAACATTAATAAAATGTGCTCAGACTGACTATCCTTTAAGCTTGAAGGCAACGTGTTGTTTCTGTTGGTCTCCCTGACCGGCAGGGTTCTGCTGAACAACTCTTTGACAAAGTTGGAGGACGTCTGTCAGGAAATGCCCAGACTGAACTGGCTGTGAGTAAGGTGTCAAAAAGACTAATCGAAAGCTGTCGTCACGGGGAAGTGACACGTCTTTGATGAGTTTATTCTCTGTGTGTCTGTCCACACATGCCCCCTGCGTGTGCACGTTTCTCACACGTCCTTGCAGAGACTTGGAGGGAAATCTCATTGAAGTGATTGGAAATGCCTCTTTCCGCTCATGCAGCATGTTGACAGTTCTGTGAGTATAAATTTACACATTTTAATCTGTGGCAAAGTTTTTGCTTTAAAAATGTAATTTCTCTTTGACTAAGGCTTGCAAATCTGTCAGTTGCACAAAATGTGATAACACCTTCCAGCAAGTGTGCACAATCAATGTTGGCAGTTCATTAAATAGAATTAAAAACGGTTTAAAAAAAGAAAAGTATGATTTTTTTATTTTGCTTTTCTCCAGGGTTTTACAGCGAAACAGGATCAGCTACATACACGAGCGTGCTTTCTCTGTCCTGAAAAAACTTGGAGAACTGTAAGTTCTTTGTTTTTCTTTCATTTGCATTTGAAAATGACTCAACTTTACTGTTTTATAAAGTAAAACTGATGCTACACACTGTCAGCTGCGGATCGTTTTAAAGACGGGTTATGCATCGTGACTCCTTCTTCCAGGGATTAAATTCAGACGTTCAGTCTGGATTTGAAGGAACGTGTGACCCTCGAGAAGCTGAAACCGCCAAACGATGTTTAATTAACTTGAAGGAATACAATGTTCTGAAATCAGGAGTTTAAGGATGTTCATATTTAAGATGGAGGCTTCATGAAGACCATTTGTTGTCCTTTAAACCTTCAGGACGGTCGTTTAGACGAGTCACTTTGCTCTTTCAGCTGTTTCAGGTATTAAAACGTTCAGCTCATTCAGACACTGCAGCTACGACCTTTGGCTTATGTAACTTTAATACCTTTTGAATTTTTTTAATTTATTCAACTTTTCTCATGGGACTGCATTGAGATCCCTTTAAATCCATAAAAAATCGTGAAATATTTTAAATTATCAGCATGTTTGCATTTTTATTTTAGTTTTCAGCTACTTTTAGGCTTATTTTAGCTTTTAGCTATTGCTAATTTTTGCTTTAATTCATTGTTTTGCTTGTTTTAGCTTTTTGCTGCCAATTTTATCTTTAATCTGCGGCTTTGTTAATTTTAGCTATGTAGCTTTTGTTCCGATTTAAGCAAACATTCACAGAAAATGCCTCTTGTTCTTTCTTTTTTTTTAAGTAAAGCAGATTTTTTTTGTTTTATTAATTGAAGGAGGGTTGTTTCTGACCTCTTGACCTTTCATTTCTCTGAGCGGCAGAAGTTTTCCTCAGAGTTTTGTCCCAGATTTTCTCCGAAACACAAGTTAATAATTGTATTCCCCTTCTCTGCGGTGGATATCATCAGCTGTGTTTCTGTGAGCACACAGCTTTTCTTTTTGGTTTGAAAGACATTTTTTCTTCCAGCTGAACCCAAAGAAGTGTTTGGGTTACCTCAGCTGTGGAGTTTTCAGTGCATCTTTATTTTGGGACAGTAAAGTGTGATACGGCCCCTTGTTGTTCAGGACGGTTTGCTCTTCACACAATCCCCTCTTTCATGTCGTGTCTCTTACTGTTGGCTCAACAAAGCCGATAAAAGCCCCACAAGTCCCAACTTCTCCTCTTCCATGGGAACTTTTAAAGATTCATCCGTCCGCAGCAGGAGCTGGAGCCGCTGGAGGCGGCGTGTTGTCTCTCCTTCGTGCAAATTAAAGATCACATGAAGAGATTTTGCTCAAATTTAGCCACAATGTCCGTTTCAGATTAAAGGATAAGCCGTTCTGTTTGTAAGAGATCAGAGTAACTGTGGCGTATCTTTATGACTGTTTGGAGATACAGCGTGCAGAAATGAACGCGCCATTTATCTGAACGGGTCCTTGAAAGACAGAATATTTTTATTTAACGTGACATTTAACGTTCTCATTGTAGCGCCTGACATCACCTTTTTATTCAACCTGATATTAAACTCCTTAAATTTCCAGCTGTTTGTTTTTGTCTGAAACTAAAGAAGATATAGCCTGAAATAATCCAAACTGCTTTTTTCGTTTTTGCTGGTTTTTTCTATTAATTTTAAAATTATTTGATTAAAAAACAGACGTGTTTGTTCTAACAGGCTTAAATAAAACCCAGTTATGTTTGTATTCTGCTGCAGCTCCATTGTTGGATGAAAGAAACAGAACAATTCATCAGTTCTTTGTTTCACTTTAGATGGCTTTTTTTATGAATTCACCCAAAACACATTTGATTTATTTTTCGCTACAAAATAAAATTATATTTTGAGTAGTTTTTATTTTACATATTGAGACAAAATCACATTTAAAATCAAATTAACTGGATGAAGTGATTATTTTCAGTAATTTATAATAGATTTTTATTACGTTCTCAGAGCTTCTATATTTACCAGCATAATTTAATTTAACAAAATGAAATAAATGATAAAAAATGTACTTTATGATGTTATCTCTGAAGCTGTTTATAGAATAAAACACCCAAAAACTAGCTAATATTTTTATTGGAGGAAAATAAATAAAAAGTTCCTCTTCTGGTTGAGTTTGTACATTTGAAGTCGTTCTGACGGAGACTTCAGATCATAAATCAAAAACAACGTGACTGTTTTATAGTTTGTTTGTTTTCTGCCTCTTACAATAAAAAGACTTAAGAATAAAACATGTGGTGATCTGATAAACATCTTCTGTTCTGCAGGAACTTCTGTCTGTTGCTTTTTTATGTTTTATGTTTGTCGTCACGCAGGGATCTCTCCAACAACAAACTGGTGGCGATTCCTCCCAATTTATTTGTCTTACTGGAGGACTTGCTTCAACTGTGAGTGTCTTCTCACCCTCAGACAAACGTTTTCATGTGAACACAAACTGATTCTGATGCTGTGACTCTGATCCCTGAGCAACAAATCTGCATGAGAAAGTGCTGGATATGTTTTTACAAAAGTTATAATAAAAACTGTACTAATGTGAAATTGGATCTCACATTTTACATTTGGCTGAATCTAACAAAGCCTGTACTGTAGAAAACCATCCATCCAGCCATCCAGCCATCCATCCATCCATCCATCCATCCATCCATCCATCCAGCCATCGAACATTGTCTGGTTCTGGACTCAGGTCTCGGGGTAGCATCAGATCAGGGAGGTCCAGACATGTCTCTCCACAGCCACCTCTTCCAGATCTTCTGAGAGGACCACAAGTTGTTCCCAGACCAACTGAGAGACGTAGTGTCTCCAGCAGGACAGAGGACACAGCAGAAGCTACACCAACCCGTTTGTCCATTTCACGCTCCGTTCTTCCAGATCCCCAGATACATAAACTCCTGCGCTTGAGGTGGAACCACACTCCCAACCTGGAGAGGGCAGTCCACCCTGGATTTCCTCAGATCTGGAGGTGCTGATCCTCATCCTTACTGCTTCACGCTCGGCTGTGGACCGCTCCAGTGAGAAGCTGAAGATCGTGATGACACCACCAGGACCACACCATCTGCAAATAATGAATAATGAACAGAACCGGTGACAACGTTCAGCCCTGGCAGAGTTCAACTCCCACCCTGAAGGGGTCCGACTTACTGACGGCAATGTGAACCAAACTCTCGCACCGCTTGTAAAGGGACTGAACAGCCCGTAGCATCGGACCCCCAGTCCTATACGCACAGAGCCCCCCCATAGTGTACCTTGAGGAACACGGTCTAATGCCTTCTACAAGTCCACAAAACTTGTAGACTGGGAAACCTCCCATGCCCCTTCAATGACCCTAGTGAGGGTAAAGAGCTGGTCCAGTGTTCTATGACTGGGACAGGACCTTCATTGTTCCTCCTGGATCTGAGGATGGACCTGGACCTGAACCTGGACCTGACCTAGACTGGACTCATTTCTGCAGCATCTTATAATAGACGTCCTGGTAACAGAAGGCTGAGGAGGAGGATTCCTCTGATGATTTGAAGACATGCTCTGGTCCTCCTTTGTGAAGTGAGGAACCACCACCCAGTCTGCCCATCCAGTGGCACTGGTTCCTGTAGAAAACTTTATGTAAATTTACTCTTCTTTAATAAAAAGTAAGAGGATAAAACTGTCAGAGCTCTGAAAGGTGAGCAGTCGTCACAACATGATGTCTGTATATCAAGATGTCAAAGACAGGAGAATGTGAGGAAGTCCTCTGGATATTCAGCTGAAAGAGGCGAGACGGTGCGATTGGAAGGTAAACACGTCGGGGACGAGAGACATCTAGATTTATTTATTCTCACAGAGCAGAAACTCTGACGTTTGTTTCAAGATCTCCTGTATATACTTGATGTGTTCTGGTTGGTTTATGAAGCTTAAATATTGATTTAAATTTTTTTTCTTCCAGAAACATATCGTATAATCCCATCCTGGAGCTTCAGGACGACCACTTTGATAAGTTACATAAACTAAAGTCACTGTAAGTACTTTATTTATTTCTGACTAACTTTGTGTCAGTTGCTTTTCACATGCTCGACGAGTGGCCGACATGGCAACATGCCGATGTCCCCCGTCACTAACAGGCTTCAGTGAATGTTTGTCGTTTTCTAGATGAGTGTTATTCTGGTCTGGAATGGCTGTAATTAAACTTTAATGTTTTTGATGCAGAACATTTAATTGGGAGTTACACTGTGTAGAAGAACATTAGTTTATTTGTATGTATTTATTCTTTCTAGGCGGTGCAAGGTGACGTTATGCATCCTGGCAAGTGCAGGGAGCAATTTTATCTACGGCCAGGCCCAGTGGAGGAGCCAGGGGGTGGCCACTGGTGGCCTTGGCCCCCATAGATAAATGTTCGGCCGCACCAGTCATTTGAGAAAACTATTTTTTAAAGCAATTTAAAAAAAAACTAGCAAGTGTAGTTTGCTCAAATGATGGTTTACATATATACAGGTGGCCATCTTGGATTTTAACATGGCAATCCAATTCTTAGAAGGAACCTTTGTTATGCCTAGAAGTACACGCAAAACTGGAAGTAGATACTTCACTTATTCTTCAAGTTATGTTCACAACATGGACAGAGAGAGGAAGGTATTTCTGAAGAGACACCATCATTTAGTGGATCACAACTTTTGGCATAAAGTCAAACAATATTCAAAATCTTCATTATTTAAAAATAAGTGATTTTTTTTTCCATTTGAGCTTTTGAAACCCTGTTTAATATGAGGAAGATTGAGTACAAATAGAAGACATTGTGCATTTTTTGAGGTTTATACTGTAACAACTTTATGTCTGGATTAAAGATCAATCTGTTTTGTGTTTCAGGAGCATAGAGGGGATAGAAATTGGAAATATTCACCGGAGGATGTTTGAGCCTCTTAAATACTTGACTCACATGTAAGTGTTTCATTGTTGCTGCTCAGTAGACACCGTCCTGTTTCACACATTCTGCACCTGTGAGTCCGCTCACCTCCATGACACCCAGCTTCACGTTCACCTGGGAGGTCATTCATGCAGGCTTCACGTAATTCATCCTGTCTGTGGCTGAAACAACCAAATCCACTCCAGACGGGTCCTTAAAGAAAATGTTCTGTTTCTTGTTTCTCGCTGCCAAAAGGCAAAACAGTGATTATGTTTAAGTCCATGTCTCTGTGTGTGGGTGTGTGGGTGTGTGTGTATGTGCTCGTTTATTTAGTTTTAGCAAACTTCTCATTCCCCGGTGGCCAGATTTTAATGAAACGCTGATAAAACAATGATTTTTAATTAAATTCACCCGAGGGCCAACATCTACAGCTCAGTAAAGATGGCTGCCACAGTCAACCGATCCTAAAATACACCAAATGGTTCATAACTCAGTTTTACAGATATGAACCTAAAGTTTTCTGTGGTAGTAGATGAGAGTCACACACAACATGCACTCTGAGCGCTAATAACCATTTAAAACTGTCTGGTGTGAAAGCGGTGGGCGATATGCAATCAGTCGAGGAATGATACACTTCCAACTTGTCTTTGTTGAGTTGTTTTTATTTTTTAAGGTGGTTGCCGACAGCTTCCTATAAGTTACACACACATCAAACAATTAATTTTGCTCAAAAAGACCCTTGTGTTGCGTTTTGTTCACAAAAATCTCTTTGAACCAAATCACCACATGTGGAGCTCCGAGCAACAAAAATGACTTTCAGAGCGATCAAAATGTTTTTTCTACAAGAAGATTATTTTGTTTAGTCTCTAATATCCAGTGAAATCTAAAGGCTAAGCTGTGGACTGTTTTCAAATGTTGACACGTTTTCATGTAAAGAAAACTGTTTTGAAACGATTTTTAAATTCAGATGTTGAAGGACTGGATGGATGTGAGCAGGTCAGTCAAACTCTCTGCTCTGGACTGAAACACTGACAACATCCGTGATTTGCTGAAACACTGACAACATC